TTACACGTTTTTAACCTAATTTCAGAAGAAACAGCACCTGCTAGTAACTAGTGTTCTTTGAGATGTGTAGAACTGATTAAGGTTAAGATTAACACACAAAAAAAAACCAAAACGAAAAAACAACCTACTCAACTCATGCTTGCTGTCTTGCAGTTCAAACTCAGAAGACAGAGCTGTTCCAGTCAGAACTCTAATAACAAGCCCACCCAACAGTAACATCAGAAGGAGATTTCTCTCAACCAGCTTTTCAAGCTCTTCCTAGCTTGAGAGAAGACGACTCCTACCTGATAGGGAATTCCACAACAGTGTCAAGTTTATCCCTCCAGTATCTGCTGTATGAGAAGCGTTTTAAATGTACTACCAAAATCCTGGGCAAAGACCACAAGTCAAACTTCTTTGTGGCCTGTTGATGTTTCTTACAGTTAGGGCAGTACCTGAGGATAGAGTAACAAACAAGGAAATGAACAACTACGTTAAAAGAAAAGCTTCTGGCTTTCCACTAACAGATGCCTCAATAGCACGGTACAGTTCCTGCCTTACAGAAGGCATTTTGGCTGTGGAATAGGCAGGTGAACACATTTCCTCAGAGGTTTCCAAACTGCAACTTGCTTTCACTTTATAGGCAAAGTGCCCCATGGCGAGTGCCATAATTGGCAGTAATTGGAAATTAATAACAAACAATCACCTACTACACTAGAAGTTACTTTCTTCCACAGCTGTCAAACCACCTCTAAAGATCTTCTGCACACACAGCAGCCACATTTTGGTCACTTAGGATCTGCTGCACCTAGCCTGTCCGGACTAGGGATTTTTGGTGTTCGGGAGTCAGAAGTGAGTCAGGACTGGTTCAAGCCAGAAGTAACACAGGATTAAACCCTAAGGTAGTCACATACTTTCACTCTTTATTACCACAACTGCTTCCTCTGACACTGTCTGGAAGACAGATGTGTACTGGGGAATTAAAAACAGCCTGATCTTTGGAAGCCACATGCCCACTGCCACTTTTTTTTTTTTAAATAAAGGCAGGAAACAAACACTTCTTTTTAACACATTTGCAGCCTACTGAGTCAATGACACAGAACTGATAAGACTTCTCACAGATGAAGACAAAGGGACAGACCTGGGAAAATATCAGAATCTCATGACAAATAATTTGAACTCAAATAGTTACGGCATTTTACGATACACGCGGCAGACAGAGGGAGGCTCTTACCATGGGTCATGTTCACCAAGCGTTTCCATAGTAGTGAAGAGCTCTATGCAGTCTCTGAGGGCTACCACAGCCGCCTTCTTCTGTGATTGTAACATACTTCCATGTTTTTCAAATGCCTAGCAAAAGAGATGTATGCTTTATTCAATTCCATGTAGTCTTTAATCCCTGACATCACAAAGAGAAACACACTCATCTTCATCATGCTGCCTATTTTGCCCTCCTCCTTCCCCATCCACACCATCATTCTCAAGCTTCCAGTCACTCCCTTCTTGAGTTACGAACTCCATAAATATGTCCTTAGTTCAAAGTTGGTGCGTTTTGTTTTTTTTTTTATGCAAAAGAGTAACAGGTTATTCTGTTACAAAACATGATTTACCAGAACTCTCACAGGAAGAGTACTGAGCTTTCTACCAGACTCTATGAATTTGGTTGCAGGTTTCTTTTGAGTTTTGGGGGCTTGTTTTGTTGTCTATGAACTAGACTACTTATGTTTGAAATTAAAACATCTACTTTTCAGAACACACTAGAAACAGATCAGCAATTATAGATCTATAGACCTTATCACTAAAATATTTTAAGTAAACGTATCTTATGCTGGTGACTCCAGCTTTTGTGAAGGGAGCTACACCTACATTTCACCATTTACTGTAATTTTTTTAAGTACCATGCAAATTTACATATAGGTTACTTCTGAAAAGAGCATACTACAACCTGTGCCTCCTGTTCATCAAAAAGTAGCCTCCGCATTTCAGAATCACAGTCAACAGCAAGTGCAGAAAAAGCTACAAGAAAGAAGAAAACATTTATTGCAAAGGTGTAAGGAGAAGGAAGAAAAAAAGACAGCAAAACAATAATTACCATTCAGTTTTAAGATTTTTCCTTCTACAATGGAGTTTATCTCGGAGGTCCCAGAGGAATTCACAAGGCTAAAAGTGAAATGCTGTTTCTTGCAAGGCTGCAGGTCTCTTGCTGACTCGATCTGCATACAACCCTCAGAGTGGCAGGGATCAACTTCTGCCAGCTTTTCCTTGCCTTCCTGTCCACCATCCTGATGCTCCATCTCTTCAAAGTCACCTGGCAAAATTTAAAACAAGCACAATATTAAAGAGCTTCAGTGAAAGTTTAGACTGACACCTCACAGGGACAGCTGTTTGCATGAGCCTGTTATGACCCACACTGATTGCTCAGAAAGTAATGAAGAGACACACAGAAAAAGAAATCTGTGCTTGTTAACCACTACATCTGAAGTTGTATTTTTTCCTTTAACAGATGTCAGATAACGTGCTGGGATTTATATCCTAGTATCAGATACGATGGAGAGTGCTCTGGTCACAGGAGGTTAACAATCACACCTTCTGATAGCACATCCTAAAAAACATCTCAAGAGAGAATCAGCAAAGTTGCAATTGGGTGTCTTTACAGAAGGGAACATGTAAGTTTCCAGGAAAGTTATTTCAATGCTTCAGGAAAAGCAAGCAGACTTTTTTCCCCATTTAACTTGTGCTGCTGCGAGCATAACAACCGGAACAAGTGAATCATTTCAAAGAGGAAAGGGAAACATACACTTGCCATCAGCGTTAAAAGCTTCCTTGAAGCATCTAACCTTGGAATGAGATATCATGATTCTAGGTCCATGAACAGAAAATATAATTTCTACTTTATTTCTCCAGAACTTGTTTTCGTGACCAAACAGGTCGGTTTTCACCAAGGATGTATTAGGAAAGGAGCTGCCTCTGGAGGGAAGCACCTGAACACCTAATAGGGAAGCAAGGACTTCCCTAACATTGGTCAAGATGAAAGCACACTACACCTCGTTCTCCTGCTCCTGTTTACACACATCTGATCTCCCTTGGAAGGAAAACAGTCTACAAGAATTCTCACCATACCACAGAAGTCCTATGCAATAGCATGGTTTAATCACTGTGACGAACAATCTGCTAGAGCTTAAGCCAAACAGACACAGCACAAACCAAACACCGAGAAAAAGCTTTCAATGCTGAAAAGCTTCCAGTCAATTTTGCAAGGCCTTTACCTTCTTCCGCACCATTGGAGCCATTGCAGGTTCCTTTGTCTGGGCAGGCTGTAGAGTATTCTTCTGCCAAAGGGAGTTTCACATAGCGGCTGAACAGAGGGAATATGTTTATTAACAGAGGGAGTATGTTTATTACACAATCACACTGAATTCTGTACGGCAGAACAACAGCACCCCTTTCCATCATCAGTTCTTGCTGTGAAATCCCCCTCAGGAAACCAGAACCCATCCCCGTACAGCATCATTTAAAGGCCAAGAGTTCTCGGAGTGAGCTGTGACAACAATTCAGTAAATCTCTATTCTCACTGCTTGTTCCAAGTTTTACTGGCAGTAGATGGAAAAGGCAAAAATAAGTTACGGTGGCCCCGTCTGAGAGCCCTGAAAACATGACCAGAGTCCTGCTTCTGACCCGTTCTGCAACACCAAACAGATAGCTTCCCTTGTCACCGCCACCAGCGTTATTTTACAGACCCCAAAAAAGTCAGGACCTTGAAATGTCCCTGGGGCCTCCAGACACTAATGCAATGCAAATCCCCATTTATATGCCACACACAAATCAAGAAAAATTCTTCCCGTTAACAAGGATGCAGTAATCCTATCACAGTGTAATTGAATAAACGACCACTGGAACGTTGCATAGGATTTGAAAGTACAGACATGGCTTACCTGATCTGCTCCAAAACAACACTGTACAAGTGATCCACAGTCAGCTTGTGTTTCGGCACAGATATTAAAAGTGGCTGACCAAAGAGCACGGTCCCTGAAGTATTGCTGGACTGCCTCATTGTCTTTTCCCGAAAGTAAACAGAGAGAGTAACATACTCAGAGCCATCTTCGCTTGGCTTGCAAACTTCATATCTGTTCAAAAGACAGGTATTTCCACAGGTTACTTCCACTGCCAAGAAGCATAGCAGGTAGAACCAATATGAACTCTCTCCACCAGATCCTCCTGAGAAGGACAAAAGGAGTTTACTCTGTCTTCGTGCCACAGAGCAGTTTCCTGAACACTTCTCGTGGCTCACAATGGCACAGGATACGTACCTACCAACTCAACCGCCACCTTTCCTCTGTCTTTATTCCTAATTCACATCCCTATTGCCACTCACCTCTCAAGACATTACCCTGACAACTACACCTTGCTTCAACCAGATCACGGTGTCAGTGGAAAATAACTACTTGCACTTTGAAATCCCTCAGACAGTGTTTGTTCCCTCTGGAGAAAGAAACCCTCTTGATACCTTGGATCTTGCATTTTCCCAGCCTCTCGTACAGTTAACAGCCTGAGCTCACATCGCTGAGCAGCCAACGTTTCAGAAAACCAAGAGTTTAGAAACATCTGCTTTACAGAAAAAAATCCAAGGACAGTAAACACACAAGAAAAACATCGTGGAAGAAAACAAAGAGCTCTGGAGAGCAGAGAGGAGACTGAGACACAGCTTGTGCTACTGGGTAAAACGGTAAATGAGATATTTGCAGATGTCAAGCCAAAAGAAACCACGTGGTCCAACACTATCACATTGTTCACTTCAGGACTATCCATTACAAAAGATTCATTTTTGGGAACGCCAAGTCACACTACTCTTTAATGTAGTGAGTCACCCATCCCAGACTTATCTTAAAACTGAAAGAGAAAGAAATATTTCGTGAAAGATGTCACTACACATAACCTAACAACAAGACTACAATCACATATCTGAATGTACCAACTCTTAACAGCTCTCTTACATTAGACAAACTGCTTCCTTTCTCTCAAGACACAAGAAACATTTTTTCATTCCTGTGTTCAAAAGGCCCTTGTAGAACAGAGAGGAGAACAAATTTCAGAGTTGTAGTTCTGCTCCATCCTACTTAAACAAAACGAGATCCCAGCTTGGGGCTTGCACTGAGTCAGTAGAGCACACGAAGAAAAATACCCTTCCAGAGAGTCCCAGCTCAGCCCCCTAAGAACATGAGAGATCAGAGTCAGCATAAGACAATCCAACGCAAACAGCTGTTGAGGTTTTCTAGGCTGCCAGTGCTATTCAGCTGGTCACCAGCACTGGATACAGTTCACACTTTCTAAAGTTTCCTGAGAAATAGCAACACAAAGAGATGAATTATTTCACTTAGCACTATTTAAATAACAAAAGACCATACTCAGTCCCAGTATATCATCTATGATTAACTCCAGGTCCTATGAGATCCCTAAGGTGCACTCCTATAGAACAGATCAGTATGCAACACACACACATTCCTGTAACTGCCTCTCACACCACCTACACTGTGCTCTGCAAGCAGCATTAGTGCAGCCCCCATTTATACTCCACCCACATGCACCTGAACGAAGCCCTGCCCATGCGAACGAACAGATGGAACAAAGAAAAAGCTAAGTATTGCCCATAAACAGGTGTCATCATCACAAACAGCCCAGCATGCTGTACCCCTACAACACTCCGCAAAAGAGCATCTCATACACTTCTCACTGAAACATAACAAACTTGGTTACTCGAGTGCCCCTCTACCCACTCCACCTCAGAACAGATAAAATACTTCATCTATAATTTAAATGAAGGGTATAGAGCTGATACTGGGAATTACTGGACAGAACACTGTAATTTTGTATCTTGCAACTTAATCAAAATAACATAACCTAAAAAGATGATGCTACGACAGACTACACACCACCATTTTAGAAGTAAGAGTCATCAGCTCAGCTGCTACCACACTGCTGGATAATGGCTAGTTGCCTTCATAATTCATGACAACTCTTGAAAAGTGTCTGAAAACTGCTCAGCAACAGGGTAGGACTTGACCAGTCTTCATCAGTATTACAAAGGCTTCAGGTCTGCACTTATAATTCAAAAAAGAGGCAGTGAGCAATGAAGTAGGTAACTTTTGTTCTCTTGCAATCTAAAGTTAAGCAAGTGTGCAGGAGCATGAAAAGCTACAGAAGGACAAGGCAGAGCTATGTGAAAGGGCACTGAAAGCAAAAAATACTGAGCTTAAACAGCAGGCTAATATACATGTTGTATGTTATCGAAACATTCTCTCCCGAGTGAGAGAGAGAATGATATTAATATCTATGATATTAATTCCAGCTGGAAAACACTGGATCACAAGTCAGTCTACAGCAATGACTAAGAAAAGTGTATTTTGCAAGAGAACAGAGAAGGGTAGAAAAATAATGTCATTGCAGAAGTTGACAAACAGATCTCTCTGAACAGGATTACTACTGCACACCGACCCAGAGATGCTGCTGTGAAACTACCATATGTTCAAAAGTTGACAGTAAGAATGAACAGAGGACTGGAAAAAATCTAGGTGAAAGTGCTGCACATATTCTGATCTCTTCTATGAAGTCGAAATACTCCTAATCTGTTTACTTTCTTTCATAATACCAGAACACATACAAACAACTAACTAGGAGATAAGAAACTGAAAATGTAACTTTTCAGACAACAAGTAGTTTACCCTACAGAAGCTGGTCACAGGATTTCGCCAGTCTTCCAGAGGAGCAAGATTAAAAAGGATGAGGGAATTCAACCAGTAACAGTTCTTGAAAACTTAAAAAATATAAGCTCATTTTGGAAACCCTTATTTCAAACAAGAAAACACTAATTTCAGCAAGCAAGAACAAACTTCCTAGACCAGTCTGCTACAAGATCTCACACATCTCAAACATTTCATATAAAACTACTGGACTAGCTGGTTTGCTAATCTAACTTAACTCAGTTCAGTAACTGTTGTAGCCCCAGTCACATTAACAAACCTGACATTTCTGCAGCCAGTCATGGTTTTTCAAGACCATGAACTCATCTAAACATAGCACACAGCATGTTGTAAGAGAAGGCAGAAAACATGGTACATATGGCAAACTAAATACGTCTTATTCAAATATGCACACTTTTATAGGTTAAAGGTGACCTGCAAATCAATTTGTGAAACTTTTATCAATGTAAGCAATACATCTTATATTATATGCCCCATTAGCCAGGCTAAGAGAACAGGGGTTTCTAGTTTATCCATCAAAACACTTTTCTTCTTAGGCCTTAAGAACTAAGAAGAAATACTGAGAGTGATACCCTTGAAACGGGCTGTCAAGTTTGTTTTCAAGTGGTACTTACCTGACCCCTTGTAGGCCGGCTCCAAGCTCCAGCAGGATCCCTGGGTGATCTGATATCACCAGCATGGTGCATGCGTGGGTGTTACATTGGAGCGGGAGCCGGAGGTCCTAGCGGGGCAGGACTTCACAGAACCTAAGAAAAAGAAATAGTAAGCATTTCGGTTATGTGCTGAATGCCATTCTCTGCTTAGCCTGGAGAATGAGAGCATTCAGCACAAACACTGAACTAACGTCGTCAAATTGATTTGCAGACCACCTTTACAGAAGTGACTTTCTGATCATTTGCCACAGATCTCCCTGTCCTTGCACAGGAACAACATGCCTTGAAAGAAACATTAATAACACTGTGAGAAGCGGGCTAGTCCCACCCTTCTTTGGCTGCACTGCCTCTACGCATCGTGCCAGTGATCTTGCTTCAAGTCTTATATCAAACCCCTCTATTTCTGCAAGCACTTTACCTCTTCTCTGATGCTAAATATTCACACATCTTGCATCAGGACTACACTACGTTTCCAAACCTGTCACGATAAGAAAGAAGAGTGCAAAGCCTCGTGAAAGAATGGGCTTGGAGAACTCTAGTCCCACATTTTCCTTCTCTTTCAGGTGACCTGGAGAAGAAAACGTATACTTTTGTCCTTTTGTGTAAAAGGAACCAGGTTCATTGTGGAATGTATCTGAGAGTTACTTAAAGTCATTTGAACATGAAAAAGCCCAGTAACGTTCCTGTTTCTTCTCTCTGAAGTTTTACTATCGGAGAGCACAACAGGTACAGTAATACACCACAAGAATCGATGAGCCACAAACAGCAGCTGAAAAGGAAATATATCTTAGTCATCCAGAGCAGATATTTTTTTTACCCCTCCAAATTACTATCCATTCAGTTTAAATTCCAAATGCAGCCCAGTTCTCCTGCCCCTCCCCAAGATTCAGCATCTACCATCACTTTAGAGGGACATGAAAATTCACACCACGTGTCTCAAGATATCCAAAGGTGCCCTGCAAAAACCACAGAAAGCTGAACACGTCTTGCCTCAGATCCCTACCATGAAAAGAGCAAAAAACCCCCAGGTTTTCCAACCACTGAAATCACCCAAAGAAAGGTGCAAGCTCAATATTCTATACAACCCATGTATTGCACGTTTCATAAATATTCATCAACGGTAGAGCGTGGACTACAATATCTGTGCCTGAAGATCGTGTCCTGTGTCAAGCAAATATCAAAACAACAAAACACATTCCAGCTATGCCATTCCTGCTGCAATGTGTTGTCCGAGTTCCTGCTCAGTGACATTTACAACTGAAGTGTTTCATGGAAATGGATACGCTGTTCAGTAACCAGAGGCCTGAATCGAAAGCTGAGACTTAACAGACATTGGCGTCAAAAGCAAGACTACAGTACAAAAGGACTGCCTTTTTTTTAAAAAAAAATCACATCCCTGCTGGGCACAGAACTTCTACAGTACTAAATTCTCCCTTGAATTTTGAATTGAGATGTGTGTTGCCGGCTGGCTAGCACACAATACTCTAAAATCAGGAGTCTGTCAAACAAACCAACGGAGATATTGTTGTCGTATGCAGACCCAGGTCTGGCTACTGCTTTCAGCAAAGCAAACCTGGATAACTACTGCAAGAGACTGACCATTTACATTTAAATTTTTCAGTCCTGAGGCAACTTAAGGGGATGATAAGAAATGTACAGAAGGCAAGAACTACCAGTTTAAGTTACTACAAGACCCTAAAGCTTTAGAACCATTGAAACAAGCGATTCCTGCTACAGAAGACAGTCACCCACATGAACACAGGTGGGAAATCTGCTGGACTCTGAACAAAGTCCTGTTTGCAGGGGGACAAGGAGAGCACAGAAAAACAGGAAAAATTTGATGGCAGCTGCTCATGAAACCAGAGCTCGGGGGCCTTGTAGCTCCCTCTTATCACTACACACTCATTTTTTGCATTCTCAGACTCCAGCAAACAACCACAGACAACTATTAACATAACCTTTTTGCTTCTGCCAGCAGAAGGAAGGAGTACTTCTCAGATGAGGGAACTGTTACACTGTTAAAAAGATGATTTAAACGCTAGCAGGAGGCAGGGAAGGGTGCTGTCTTCAGTTGATCACAGCTTCTCTCATAATTGTCTCAGTGAGGCTATCAGGAAAGAACAAATGAGAAGATCTGCGAGCACACCCAAATTCAAAGACTAGGCAGCAAAATCCTTCAGGAAAACACCTCAAAAAAAAATCAACAGGACCTACTGAGCAGTCTGAAATTTTAAAATATAAGTTTGGGAAACATACACATGAGAAGCCTATTTCTGAATACGCTGTACTGATTTAACTCTACTTTGAACTGCTTACTACTTTGCAATTTGTTTTCTAACTAGCAAAAGAAACTTTGTGTCTAACTTTAATTACTTAAAACAAGTAATGAGATCTACATGTTACAGTTTGCCAACAGGGAAGTCTTGCTACTGGACGTTACCGGAAAATAAAACAGTTGATCAGTATATAAAAGGGACAGGATCAATAAAACACGAATTAGGAAAGAGTTCAAGTACATGAGACTGACTATCATGCTACCCTAAATACAATAGATGTTTTGAATCTAGAAAACATCTCTTATTTAAACACAAACAATTAACTAATGGTCCTCAGTCATATCCCAGGTTGCACGTTAGACGTCAACTTTACCCACATCTAGGTTAACATTTAGAACCTAAGAACACACCCTGCAAGAGGCACCACGACTGCCAGATCTTCCTCTCCAGTTTGCTTTTCCCACCCGATAGCTGACATACCTCTCACTTGGCTTTGCTGCACTGTGAGCACAATATCCCAAAATGGTGCAGTTTTGCTATTTGATGGATAACATAAGTAATGCTATTATTAAAAACCTCATCTTTTCTGTAACTTCTGTTCTTCTACAGTAGAAGCCGATATGTTTTAGTCTTACTACACAAGGTAATTAAGTGATTCAAACAATTCTTAGGAAAAATTCTGTGTTCAAAACGTAGTAGTCGAGCAGCTTCGAGACAGTTTCTTCCTTGCTTATAAACCAATTGCTATCTTGTCAGTCCAAATTAACATTTTGGAAGGTCATCTTAGAACTTTATTTTGTGGCAATACCCAGTATAAGTGTAGTGTAAATAAACTTTTGATAGGTTAGCATGATTTACTGAATCTTTTTTAGGTTGTTATATACATTTTAATTGTGAGTTTCTGGTGAAAATACTGTCACTGTAAAACATTACACAGTTATACTTTTTATATATATATACACACTTATAAGTCTTCTTCATTGACTTTGGGGAAATACAATGTTTCTGAACTACACATTATTTCAATCACGTATTTTCAGTTTCAAGTGGAAGCAAGTTTGGTCTTTAAAGGTGGAAGATTTCAAAAGACTTAAGATTATTTTTTAAAAATATTTTTTATTCCTTCATTTAATAAACAGTCAGATATTTGCCCGTAATCTAAGGTAAGTAAGTTGCTGGGATATCAGAAACCTCTGAAGTTACCAGCAGCAATCTGAACATACGACCACCAGGTTGCCACATTCTCCAGCCACACATCACACAGCATCTTCAGGAAGGCAGCAAGCCCTGATCTGACATGTTACTGTTGATAACTTCTGCCAGAAATATAAAAGCTTGAGGAGCACTTGAGACATTTTGTTTAATCCACCCCTGCCCCACTCCTGAGCTGCTTCCACGTGTACACCAGGACAGCTGTGTGCAGATCAACACAGCACAGAGAAGAGAACAGTTATTTTAACGCTGCCCTGTATCCTGACCCCGGTTATCATCTAGTTCCACAGTTCCACTAATCCAGCTAAAGTGCAGGAATGAACAATGAGTGTTACTCAAACACAAGCTATGTTTGCGTGCCAAAAACATGAAAAGCAGGAAACCTTAGGAACACTAAAACAGCTAGGCTAAAAGGAACAAGTTAACCAGAGAACTCAAGAGGAGTGAACAGGGCTGCTCCTGCTCTGGCTTCGGAGAAGAGGCCCACAAAGGAAGTGTGCACTGCAGTGCCCGCATCCAGCCCCAAGGCACGTAGCAGCGGTAGGTGCAAGTCAGAGCAGCATCTGCTTCTCACCAAAAAGAGCAAGAAGGCAACCCAAGAGCAGTCCCAGCACTGAAGTAAAACACACAAGGGCCAGCGTGACAGCTAAAAGTGCCAGAGTGGGGTTCTGTGCAGGAGTCCTCTCTAGCAGGTATAAAATCATTCATTCTGCAAGACGCAGAAGGCAGAGATGCACTTCCATGGGTACAAGTACATTCCCCAATGAAAAACAAGTTTTGAAGCCAGCAGGGCAAAAATATTCACATTCTTTTGGAAGTTGGGCGCTTTTTTAGCAATGATGTACCAAATCCAAACAGACAATGTTACCCCTCCAAAGACAACTCAGGTAATTCTCACAGCCTCAAACGTTAGGATTTAGAAAGCCTGAAAAAAACTTATACAAGACAGTTTCAACTTACTGAAGAGTTTTAATTGACAGAGATATCAAGGATTCTTCAGATCATGGGCTAAATACAATGAAAAATTAAAAACATTTCCTGCAAGGAAAAACTAAAGAAAATCGTAATTTCTTAGAAAGATACTAGAAACACATAATACATGGAGTAACAAAAAAAAAAAAAAGCCTTAATGTAATCGGTTTGCAAGAGCCCAGCAACCCAAGAGTCTAACACAGCTAGTTTTAAATTCAAGCGAGCCCTTCCAGTGACAATTTTCAAAGTTTCTGCCAGTGCCACTACAGTCTCACTGTCTGCTCACCTCAGGCTCTACAAGCAAGTAATGGCAAAAGGGTAAAAATTCGTAAGAGATCACTCAAACCCACAGTTCAGAAAACCCAAGTTGAAGATCCACCCTGATCGCTCCCCCCTTGTATCAATGTTAACACAAAACTGATGGATCGTCAATCCTTCCTTTCACACCTGCTTCAGCAGATACAAGACCTTAATAGATGGAAAAAGAGTGGAATTTAAGAACCTTCACACTACTATTAGCATTTCTTGAACAATTTAACTAAATCTTAGAACACCTAAAAGCAGACTTTTTATAGCCAGATTGTCCATGATAAGAGTAATTACATATTTTCCTTTAAATAAAAAGTTTTGCTTTTTATGAAAAAGTGTTTCTCTGTTGTGTTTTTGAGACAAGTCTCCCTTTCAATAAAAGAATGCTGGTTTTAGCTCTAAGTTAGAATATTACTTTAGACATATTTTTCCTGGCAGCATCACCCCTTAAAGGGAGTTCCTATGAGCAGCTTTCTCCTAATTCTTGCCCCAGTGCCTGGCTGCTTGTTCTTTCCCCTCCGTGATGAACACATCTTACGCAGTTTACACGGAAAAACAGGATTAGCAAAACTTCCTCCTGCTACCTCTCCTCCTTCTTGGAGGGTTATTTTTAACCTAGGTCAGTTCACTCACTATGACTCACAGCATCACCTCATTTACAACTGCACCTGCACATAAAAGGAAGTGGTGACTCCAAAGGAAAATACACATGGAGCTGCAGTTCAGCTAATGCCTCTCCCCCACACCGGGAAGCAGAGCTAATTCAGACACAGTTGTTTTCTGAGGAGGGATATGCAATGTGTTACGCTAAGTGGGGCATTTTTGTAATTACTATCGTAATATCACGCATCTTGTTTTTGATGTTTTACTAGCTTTGGAGACAGACTAACTGCAACCTAACACTTTACAATACTCTCACAAAACAGATTTCACAGAAGCCAAATGTCCTTCCTAGTCATCCTAACTGGCCACACCTTTAGCTGCAACTGAAGAAAACAACACGACAAGAATTTTTGCAAAAACCCAAACGTTACATCTCAGCAATAAGGTCATGACAGAATAGCACCAAGCAGTATGTCACAGCATCCCACTCAGTGAAAGGCACACACTGCACCACAGTATATTAGTGCAGGACTTCACATGATGCAACAATTTTATGGAAGCAACATCCTGGCACCGGAACGTTCTCACACGAGGAAGACTTGATCCCACAAGCCCCAGGTTCAGTTGCGAGCCTCGAAGTCCATTTTGCACTTCATGTGCAATATTTTCAATTCACCAGCTGCAATAGAGGAACACTACTTTTGCTTTCCTCACCAGATTTCACAGATGACTGGAGACATCTCATCCACCACACATATAAAACATCACGCACAACCAAACCCTCAGCTTTGCTGAAGTCCCTCACAACCACAGCTAACACACAAATAACATCAGCATCAGTTGAGAGTCTATCAAGAACCAGTCATGGTCAGCTGGGTGCTATAACAACTATGTTGGATGTTAGGAGAGCCAGAGTACCACAGCTTAGACTTCATGCTATCCTAATAACAGCTCCAAGGCTTTTGGCTGATTTGGACCACAAGAACTGTAAACTTGAGCTTGCCTAAAAACACCAGTGAAAGCGTAACCATAATCCAGACATAGATTATAATCTCTGAAATAGGCTTGTAGAAAGTTCCAAGCTGAAGAACACAGACCAAACAAAAAAGCTCGTTATTACCCAGGGCCATGACTTTCTTCGTGTTAGGAAAACACCTACTAAACACTGCACATGCTGATCTCCTACTAGAAGTACTGCATATTACTGCTAAATCATGCAACGGGTCTATAGGAAGGCTTAAGTTTTGAGAGGGAAAAATAAGAAAATTTGTGGTTTATATCCTGAAACCACAGAGAATGTTTTGTAGCATTCTTTGCATCATGGCATCTTCCCACTTTACTCACACAAAGATGTCGTCTTTTGGCATGATATGATTTAAACCTTCGTCCACTTGGAAGATTTTGTGGAATCGATGATTATACACGTCTGTCACCACCATCTAGAACAGCAAGTGATATTTGCAAAAAGATTATAATAAAAGGTTACATAAATTCAAGCAAATTAACTTTAAATTCAAGCAACAGTTTATTCCTATTCTTTTTTTATTGCAATTGTCAGCAAACTATAACAGCACCCAGCAGCTAATCGGCTGTAGTCGTTAAGATGGATCAGAAAAACAACGCAAATAACAGACTGTTTTTACAGAGGTACTGAGGAGATGCAATTCCAACAGCTGCGGGTCAGCCTGGTGGAAACAACAGCACAGATCTCAACATCAAAGGGGAACAGGCTAAGTTTTCAGGCACGGATCACTCACATCTATAATTAACTAAAATAAACTGAAGTGCTACACTGTCATCCTGAAAATACCCCACCAACTATAAAACCATTCCCTCTGGAAAAGCTCACTTGATCCCTTTGTTATTAAAAGGCTGCCGAAGAAGAGGTGGACCCAAAATGGACACTGAACATCTCTCAGTACTGAGAAACTACACTATCAGAAATGTTGGGGGTAGGGGCTAGCTTTCTGCCCCTTCTCTTAAACCTCTCTACTGCAATAGGAATACTAGAATAAACACCGCTTGTTTCACGCATCTTTTTATTTTACTATCAAAGACCAGCATCCAAACTTGTTAGGGTTTTGTCACTACTCCATTAAGTTCGGCTTATCACCCATCTAAAAGCTAAGCCACCAAAATGCTTAAAGAAGCACAAACATTCATGAAAATCACTGTGCTGCATTTATCCTTACATTTTCTGCAGGAACACCAGAGAGTTTGGAGAGTGATTCACACAGATCCGAGATAGCCCCCATCATCGGCACCACAACCCGGTACTAGAAACAAAGATAACATCATGCTTACACGAGGCAAAATAAACCCAGTTTCTTGCGCTCTGCTTTGTATGGAAAAAAAAAAAAACAAACTTGAGTTTATAGGAGTTCTGCTGAGGCTAAGGTCACAGTCACACTTTAAGATCTGCTGGATCTCAGCTCTACCTTATAAACCCATTGAGGTAAGGTTCACCTTTACGTTTTCCAAGGCAATACGAGGTAAACACGTCAACACAAACGCTTACTGCTTTCAGGGGGCAATACATCGCACACTGTAATCACATCACAGGAGCAGGTAAGCCGCTTCCAGCTGACCCACAACCCTAGTCTCACAAACAAGATTTTACAGAGCTGCTTGATTTCACATGTTCAGTTACCAGTTTTTACATTAAAAAACCCATCCTACCTCACTCAAAGGTGGATATCAATGACTTTTAGATTACTTGAAAAGTCTCAACTTGGAAAGTCTCAACTTGAAAACCTAAGAAAGAAACTTAGATGACGTAAATAAATTTGTGTCTTCAACATGCCTCACCTGGACAGGTCTACGCTGTGGATCTGCATATACCAGGGTAACTTCCATGAGACGATCTCTCCTCAAGGGCAGTGGAAGGGTTAAGTAACAGAAGGGATCAAAGGTCACAGAAACTTTGGAGCACTTAGGACAAACAAGGGTAGATTTGAAAAGACCATGAAAAATATCCACAATGATAGAATCGTTCCTCAGCCTATGATTCTCCCAGGCCTCTTTTGCCACTTCCTATCAAAAAAAAAAAAAGAAAAAAGTTAATTTCTCACAAGAAAATTAATACTGATGGGTAAATTTCACAGAAAGCAGGGTCTACCAGTGTGTCCAGAATAACACTCTGGGATCTCTTCTCAGTGAAACTAAGGCCTTGCATCAAGTCAAACGTACTACAGCTCTTTTAGCTGAGTCACTTGGTCCGGTATTCCTTGGTGCACACAATGCCAGAAGCATGAAGGGAGCTGAGGGCACAGTGACAGGGTTACACCCTGCTCACCAGGATGGAAAGCTGCTAACAAGATCCGCTCCACTCTCCTCCATGAGGAATGGACTGCTGCCCCCTGCTTTTGAAAGACAACTGTAGTTACAATTTCTGAGAAAAAAGTAGATTTTTTTATTTCTTGAGAAACAATGGTCCACGTATCTCAAAGAAAGTACACAAGAAGATAAATTACAACTTACAAACTCCCTACCTAAGGGCACCTGATAACTGGCATTTGTCTATTCAATGCAATCAGAAGCTCTTCTTAGCACGAGACTTTTAGTTTACGGAACAATACCATATATTTTATATATCTATCAAGTGAGGTAAGTGCCACACACACTGCAATGCTGCTGTTGCTAACGAGGATGCTGAGATGGGAACAGAGTCCAAGTTCCAACAACTGCACTGATACAGTCGCAAGGCAGAAACACACATACAGCTCCTACATCAGAGGGAGGAAAGTACCTAAATAAAACAAAGGCATGCTGAGCAACTCTTCCACCTCACAATTATCAGCATTTCTTGGAGGTAAAAAAAAGATTAAATATACTATTGTTCGTGGTGTTGCCACATGCACTATATTACACAAGGAATGGCAAAAAAACATAAAGCTGTTGCCAGTTAAGAGAAAAAACAACTAGTCACATACACTTCCTAAAAATAATTACTGTATCTGGCTTTTAGAGGCTCCTACAGCATTTTTGCCCCTATCATATTTACTCTGGACTCTGCACTTGTCAGTATGTTGCAGCTCTTTGTACTGTGACAAGAGATAAAAGCCTCATTAGGAGAGTGTGAGTTCACTCAGGGAAGGACATTTCACTATTATGTGTCTCATTTTAATGTGAGCGTGGTGTTTGCCAAATTCAGAGGAACAAAGAAGCGTCTGCAAGGGGCCCATGTATCAGTGGTGGCTGGAAAACAGAGCATAGAGAAAAGATGGGAAGAAAAATGAACAGAAGAGACTTTTCTGGTCTCTGTCAGGAAAATGGCGTAAGAGAAATACTTTTCTCTACTTAGGTAGAGTGGGTAACTGGAGCCCAAGGGTGTTTAAATTCAAATTTTAATTAAATAGAATGTAAAGTTGCTTTAATATCAATGTACCCAGCTCCACAGCACCAGAAAGGAGAAAAAAAAAAAAAATCAGGTTAAGCCTCTTAAGTAGAGGCAGGTCACTGAACACTAGGAATTCATCAAGATCCATGGTTGTACCAAGTCACTTACACCTTGGTTCTCTCCCCGTCTTAACCGGTGCTTTCATGCACCCTGTTCAGCCTGGTTTTCAATCCAGCTCATGGATTACGTTTGTCTAGAGGCCATGAGAGCGCACAAATGAGAAGTCTGGTCAAAAAGCTCATTTCATTTGACACTGTTGTCTACCAGTGGGACACTGGAATAGCTGCTTACAACCTTGTGCCCAGGGCATGTGCTCAGACCCTTATTTGAGGGGCACCCCAGCACCTCCACATGAGAACGCTCCCAGTCCCACCCAAGTCCACATGCCAGTATGATGGCCTGCACAGTAAGCACTCTTCTCAAACTCATGCTAAAAGCTGCTGCTCAATCTATCTGGAAGAAGAAGGTGGGCCTGAGTAGTCAGGAAGAAAGGTTACGTTAGTAACTACAGCCTAGTTTTAGGCAGTTGTTATGTCACGAGATCAATTTCCTTCCTTTCCAGCACAGAATCACATCAGTTTTGTATCATAAGCACGTCTTCCTGCACACCAGTACAAGAACAGACATTCTGCTGTACGGCAGAGCAACAGCGATGTGCCTCAAGGAGTCATGAAGAGTCAGAAGGGCTGTAAAGCATGACAAGGTTCCCCTCTCCCAGGTACACTGCTTTGTAGGGAGGATGTTTGTGTGTCCTGTGAGCAGGAAGGTCAGGAAGCATCACAAAGCCCAACTCAACTCCCTCGGAAGCCCTGCCTGCCCTACCCTTAAGTTAAAGGGCACTGTACCGAATCAGGTCTGCCATTGGCATCCTTCAGCTCCAAGTAGGGCTTCTTCTTCACTCTGTTCAAATCCTCATGCAAGCCATCTAGAAGAAAAGCCAAGAGCTCCTGCGAATCTTGCTGCTGGTATCCTGAAAACTGAGGAGCAAATCGGCCAACCTGGGTCTGAAACACAAAGCAAGAGTCAGAGAGGGGTGAGCATTACCTATGTGTAAAAGACAGGAATAAAAACACGTCCAGGCTTTTGCAGAGATCAACTCCACGCTACCTTAGGTTAGCAGAAGACCACAGTGAACTGGATGCTAACACAGTAAGGGTGCCAGAATAATTTTCCCAACTGTTTTTATTTTTTTTTTCCCCCTAGTGTTGAGAGGGAAGAATGCATCTAATGCTGTGACATCTGGAATCTAAGTCATCAATATTAATTTAGGAACCTACAAACAAGCAGTACATAAAACCTATCTGCCTGATGCATTGTGTACTTTGATTTCTCTTTCAGAAACCTACTGTTCCCACAATGCAGACTTGCTATAAGGTAGCATCTTGAAGCAGGTGGACTGCAAGACTGAAAACACTTGCAGAAGATACTTATGAACAAACAAATCTGGCTTAAAATTAAGATTGAAATCCTCACCATAGTACTCTATAGTACATATTGCTCTACTAGCAATTCTAAAAATTGTGATATGACGTTAAGAAACCTATCAGCCTGAGACAGTGAAAGCCAGAAACAGCACATCCATATACAGCTGCTTATTTCATAAGTGCTATCTCACAACACTTCCATTTAGTGTTCCTGCTTAAAAAAAAAAAAACAAAAACCAAAACACCCACCACAAACCAACAATAGAAAGGAGTCCCACAGGAAAATCAACAATTAGCTGAAGGAGGGGTCAGTCCTAGTGACCATCACTTATTTTCCCATAAACACAAACACTTGCAGAATTATGCTTAGTACATTTTAAGCACTCAAGATGACAACTGCAAGGCAGCCCAAACTGAAGAGCTGTTTATATCACAGTTAACATTGTCACTAAATCAGCAACAATTGTTAGAAAAGTCACAAGTGATACCATACTAGGAAAAAGAGCAATTCCTATTCCAGCCTTAAACAAGATCAGTCTGCATTAAGAGACTTCTGTTGATGTCCACTACAGATTCACATATTTCCTCTGAACAGAAGTTTACAGAACAACTTTAATAGCAGCGGATGATGTGCCAGCAACTCCAAGTCACAGAAATTAAACATCTTGTTGTTTCACAACTACCTATGACTCTACAGAGGACAGATTTCTGTAGCCCATAAGATTTTGCTCCAGATCTCAAAAGCATATACCTTCAACTTAAAGACCGCACCATGCAAAATCTAAACAGCAACAGGATGCACATCTACATTAATTTCAGGTAATTGTTTATTTCATGCATTTGGGATGTTTTTCTTCCTCAGTGTACTGAGATTGCATCACAGGAGCAAAGTTTTAGTGTTCCTTGAATGCTTTAATTACATTTTTCTCCACTGGAGCATATTTGCATTATATTTAAAACAAAAGACACAGTCACAACTTTTCTAGGGGTTCATACACAGCTGCTACATTGCAGTATTTCAGTTGAAAGCAGCTCTTTACACTGAAGCATTGGGAACATTACATCAATAAGTAAGGTTATAGACAAGTGGGTTTTTTGCTCTCCACTCTATAATTCTGTTTTTTAAATTTTTAACTTGCCAGTTGTGAACTTCAGTCAGCAAGAAAAGGTGTGCAATTCACATGACTCTGTCTAGTTCTGTAGCAAAGACCATTTCGATGCATCTGTAAACACCTCTGAAGCTGGAAGGTCATTCATCAAACAAGGCTTTCAACATTAAAGAGCAGTAACCAATTCCAGGGTACGACACTACTCACTGCCAAGTGCCTCTCTGCTCCCTGAAGAGCATTCACATAAAACATGAAGCAACACTGAAGTCATTCTGTCATTACTGCTTTCATAATACCAAAATATGTGGAAGGCAAATTAGCTTTCCCTGTTTCTTTTGTCAGAGAGCTATGCCACAAGACCATGGAGTACTTACTTTAAACATACGCGGGGCCACATGAGACTGTCTCCCAGACCAAATCTGTTTAATGAGCTCTGCATAGGCTTCTGCAATTTCTCCTCTCATCCCCAGTGGATTGTTCTGATTTATTTCAGCTTCATATTTATCTTCCAAGAAATAGTCAGTCAAAGGAGGGGTATTGCTCAGACACTGGAAAAGCATTAAGAAAATGAATTTACTGCAGACAACACTACATCTGTGCAACAATGAAATAACAAACCCAGCTTTCACACCAGAACATGTACTAAGCTATTAACAAAAATAGTGAGACTTGAGTACATATCTATTAAAAAAACAAGGAAACAAAAAATCTATAGAGAGGGTGGGACACTGTAATCATTGCCACTCAAGAGCATGGTTGAAATAAACAAGAACCACCACCAAACAAGCACTCAAAAGACTAACAGCTCACTTCTGAAACATGGTTTCTCTGCATATGCCACACTGACTTCTATACAATGTTTTTGCCCACAAGTACAAGCCTCCCCTCTGGAGCAGTTTCTACCAGTTTATTAGCTTAAGGCATAAGGGTCAGTGGTCTGCAGCTCCTTGGTTCTCCTTCAGAAATTTCCTGAAAACTGACATCACATTTGTCACCTTCCATTCCTTTGGTGCAGAATAACTTTGAGCACTCTCTTAAAGTTACTGTATTTAATCATTCAGGAAAGCAAATAGCAAACAACCTTCCGAAAAAAACCTACAGACTTTTGGAAGGAAGATAACTGCTCTTGGTATTACATCCCTCCGAATTTTGTTAATGTGTTCTGTTACTTCCACTGATGCTTCAATGTGAGCAGAGTTTCTTGGTATAATGCTGAAGTCTGACACAAAACCAAGCCTGCAATTGCCAGAAGAGTGAAGATTACAATTGCAGTCCTGCCAGTACTCACCAATTCCTATAATTAATGTGCGCAAACCTACTTTTCCACACGTTACTGAGGTGGTAGGGTAGGGTAGGCCACCTTACCGATGCACTACACGGAAATCTGCACAGAACAGGTCAGGAAGGTCTTTAGAGATGTCACCTGAGTGTTCTCAAGTCTACATCCCATATTCACTCTCACTAACCTTGAAACTCTAATATAAGGAACAGTGAGAAAAGCAGAGGTCCTTGCTCCCTCCTTGAGGTGAAACAAGCTATATTTTGTCCTACCAAGAACCAAATGCCATTAAAGAAAAATCCTCGTCAAAAAGTTAGCGAAGTTTAGAGGCAGGAAGGATACCACTCCATACCTACTCTCCCATTTATATACTTATTATCCGTGTGTCATGGCAATGATTTCATACGCCCTGGGAAATCACCAAAAACCTCAGGACACAAGTAAAACTAACACAGGAAGTAGTTTCCCTAATTCAATACTTCAAAGACTCAAACCTTATAGCAAGATGCAACACTCAGGTGAGTAAGGTAAGACTTGAATGTGTGGAAAAAAAGCCAAGTCTGAGATACGATCAAAATTACTACAGCTTCAAGGTACTGCAGTATCAAGAAAATATTAAACTGGGCTCTTTCTGAATGCCTGAAATTTCAGGACCCGTAGCAGACGCCTGTACAGCGCTACCCCAGCTGGCCGTAGGTACACAGATCTCCCAGCACCATTACACACGGCAATCTGGAGAGGGGCAGGGAAGTGCAGTCCTGTCCTTTAGCCAACTCCTCTTTCACTGCCTTGATGTGTACCTTGTGGAATTTATTTCCTACGAAATTTTTCCAGTTCCAACGTCCAGGTGTTAAGTGTCTTTCTCCAGGCAAATGACATTGAAGTGGTTACAGACTGCTACCATTTGACACCAGCCTCTCAATGGGAGACTGTCACTGACAAAACTCCAAGAACTCTCAAAAATTAAAGCAGAAATTTGCATGTGAAAGACTGACGTGCAAAAAATTGAAGCCTAATGGTAAATACAAGAAAGTATTTGGTCCTTAACATGACTAGTTCGCATGCAAAATTAAGACTGAAGTGTGTTTAGATAAAGTTACTTTGACAATAAAAATTAATTTTAGAAGTTGTCTCTTAGCTATAAAGTTCAAGAAAACATAATGTGATTTAAGCTTACCACAGTACAACTGAAAATAAAGTCACATTGAACAAAAAAGCGAGGCAGTCCAAGTGTATTGTGGTATCCTGAATACCACATGCATAATGCACTGTAGTTATTTTAAGATTTGTTCTAGCTTTTACCAGAGTGACAGAAGTCACTACATAGCACTTGTACCACACTAGAAGTCTGCCCATTGCATAAATCAAAGTTCATACAAGTTGGCTTATATTTTGTTTGAATTTCTTAGCAAACAACCATCCCTAATAAGCTTCTGCATTTTTAAAAATGAACCAAATAAACGTAAGAGATTAAGTTAAATAAGTATGCTAGTAACTATTAGTTCCGCATAACTGTTACAACCTTAACACTCCACACAATGACCCTGAATCCTTCCTGCGGCCTTTCATACTCTTAATTTTTCAAGAATCTTTGAAGACAGACTCCGGAACTGCATGCAGTGACCTGCTCACATCGCTTATGCAGCCCATACAAGTCAAAACATCCTCCACATCAGCCCATTTTGTCAGAGCACAGCACTGGGACTAACATTAGTTAGGCATCTGTTCAGTATTACTTCCTCCATAGCCTTTTCTGAAGTCATGTATTCCAGATCCAGTCCTTAATACCGTACTAGGTTTTACAGTACTAAGGTGCTACAGGTAAGTCAATCTAAATATGAACTGACTTTTTGTTTGGGGTTGGTTTTGTTGGGGATTTTTTTGCACTCCAGATGCAATCTCCCCATTGAACCACGTTAAAACACGCTTTTCAGAGATTTTAACGCACAGTCTCTGTGAGATTGGTCTTTTATTTCATTTTAAAGAGAGCTCTTTCCAGTTCTTACCTGTAATGCAGAATTCATGAAGCAGGTATTCCCAAGGTTACTGAGTCCACAGAGTCCAGGTTGTGACACTGAAGCATTGTCCCTGCAGTTGTATGAGTTACAGGCAAATCCAGAACCTCTGGAAGAAAGACAACACAGTGAAATCCACAATGAGTTTACTAAGTTTCAATACTGTTTATAAGTCGCATCAAATACAAGTCAAAAAAGTGTTTCATGAAATTGTTTAACCAGCCTACATGTTTCTGCTGCATCATAGTGGCTAATATTGAATACCAGGAACGTGAAGTATACGTGCTAACTTTGGAATCATTAATCATTACACAGTCTATTATTAATTTATGGCTCAGAACACATTCATTTCCTCTGTCAGTCAGTACACACGCAGCACGCTATCCTAACACAGCAAGAGTCTATACGATGCACTGTGAGAGCTAATAAGAAAATTATGATCTCTACCTGGAAAGGCTTCTATCATAATGGTAGATGGAAAAAAGAATTTAATCCCTTCCCTCATACCCCTAAATCCCCTCAAGATCAGGCAATGCCCTAGTAGTTAGTAAGGTCTGGAACATGCACTACTTTTGCAAGTGAGCAAGGAACAGCAGAACGCAGTGGTTTCAAAAGCAAAGTTTGATAAACAGGTACGCAAGAGTAGCAGAACTCCTCATAGGGCATCATCACACTCCTTTTCTATACAGGCAAGGATGCACAGGATTATTCACATGAAGGACGAAGAAACAAAAAGAACATCCCTGCTCTTACCCCCTGCCCAGATGGGAGCTGTTCAGTCCATAGGAGTTACTGCTATCACCGTTAGTAATGACAGAAGTGGCAGACACTGAGGAATAAGAACTTGCTGATGATTTTGAAGAGGTAGTAAAGTTTCTGCTAGTTGCAGTGCTTGATCTGGGAGAAAGGAAAAAGAAGTAGAAACAGTGCTACCACTTTTCTCGCCCCCAGCCCCACCTCCCACAAAACTCCCAAGGACTTGCCGCATTACAGTTAGTTCTCACACACAGAATTTACTGGTTTGATCTCTGTAATCGCACTTCCAGACAGTTGTCTGGAACAGAACCTCAGACAAAAGTATCAGAAGCAAGAGTAACAACTCTTACTTAAAGCAAAATCTGGGTCCCAGACTGAACTACGTAGGCAACTCCGATGCATGAGTGACAGGGAAGCAAGCTTTAGGTTTGAGTAAACCACCTTGAAAACAAGCAAGCAAAAAAACCTGCAACCTTAAGACCACAAAACACTCGCCCCACATTAAAGGTGACAAAGTTAGCCCTCCCTGCTTGAAACCCAGACCACCCACTCAAAGAGAATGTTAATTAGTAAGAAGATAACCAGGGTGGGTGCAAAACAGTTTGTTACTGAGCCTAGCTGATACCGCTACACTGCTCAGAGGCAAAACACACTCCTATGTACACGTGGCACATGTAGCAATCCTCAGCATTTTGAGACTGGAGAGACTGAAATAGGTGAAAAGAGTTAATAAGCCTCAAGTCTGTTCACAGCTGTGAACCTCAGGCTATTCCACAGTATTACTCTCCTGGTCCAGAAAAGAACACAATGATACAGAAGACCAAGAAGGCACTAAAATTCAACAGTGTTCTGTCATAGACAGCTTTGACTCCATAAAAAAAAAAGCAAAATCATAAGATAATAATACATAAATAAGCTTAAACAAACTATTCTGATAATAATTAATTTCTTTAGAGCAAGACCTAACTGGGAAACGGTGTATTCTCTTCATCTTTGCCCAAATGAACACGCAAAACTGAATGCAAAAAGGCGCAGGACACCGAGAGCCACACAGCAGCAGCAAAGACACCCAGAGCACAGCAGAGCACCAGTAGAGGACAGTGCCCTCAAGCTTCTTTTCTCTCTTTTAACGTGGCCCTGATTATCAAACGATACAAACTAAAAATGCATATTCATAGTTCAGATGCTACTAAGAAAACAATCTTGGACAACCTCTGTGAAGCAAAAAACTAAAAAACAAAGAACAAGTCATAATGGCCAAAAGGAGCTGGAAGAGCTGAAGAGCCTTACTGGCTTGGAAATGTAATAGCAGTAAGATAAATATAGAAGGAAACAAGTTACCCCAGGAGCTTCCAGATGAAAACACAAACCCCAGACACAGCCTAAACCCAAAGCACACTAAAAAAAACCACTGGCCAGCACAACCAAAAACTACACTGGAAAATACACTATGGCAAGAACGAGCAGATCTACCAAAATAACCAAGACAACCATTTCTGGGATAATACATGACCAGCATACATGACCAACACATGCTGGAGGTGAACTTCTCAAGACTACCTGGACACAAAGATCAATGAGAGAACACAAGAGTCTAGTCTAAAACAACAATTACCAGACTCACACTCCACACTCATAAGTTTTAAGGGTCAAGAATAAAATAGCTAAGCTTACTATAGCCTCCAAATCCGTTAAGAACACATTTTCAAAAGTCTGAAGAAGTGGTGAATTATGCAGAAGCAAAGAAGGGCAATCTAGAAAATGCTAGACTTGAAAACATGCCATCTCTGCTTGACATGTTTGACCTCAGTGAGAGAACAGAGTAAGATGCTCAGAAGATAAAGTGAAGAAAAGCTAACAGGGAGAAAAGAGGTTGACCTCTTACAGGATTTCAAAATTTCTAACAGAAGCATAGAGGTAGTGCACAATCAAGTCAGATGCCAGCTGAAGAGTTCAAAGAAGCGCTTCAATAGTGTCCTACTGAGGGTGGAGATAAGAACAGGGAGGGATCACCTGCCAACCATGACCCTGGGCAAAACCAACTCAATTTAGGGACAAATCAATTTAATTTGTTAACGGCTCATTCAGAGAGGATAACAAGAAACAAACTCAAGTCTCAAAAACACCTTCCCTCCAGCATCCCACCTCCTCAAGTTCTTCAGTGTAGGTCCAGCCTCTGTTCCGGCTCCTTTGTCCTCGTCTTAAATAGGGCATTCGCAGAGGCACTGATTGGCTCAGCCCTGGCCTGAGGGGATGCGGGTTCTGACCTGGCCAGAGGCCTGTCCGACCAGTTTTGGAGCTGGGGAAGCTTATTGCAGCTACTTACAAGGGCCATTTCCACAGCCCCTCCCATGCTGCCAAAACCCCATCCAGTAACCCAGCACATTAAGCTTTTTCACAGCTACTTACTGGGGCTGTTTCCACAGCCCCTCCCATAAACCTAACACAGTAGGTTTGAAGATCAGACTGCATGGTATAACTACCGAATCAGCTCTTCTGCTTAAGCACAATTTAAGTATCTCAAGATAACTCCTGTCTGAGCTAAAATACCTCTTCCAGAAAAATCAACCATCCCGGTTTCAGAGTGGCCAGCAACAGCCAATCCAGCAGACCACAGCTAAACTGTTCCAATGATCAATAATCCTTACAATCAGAAGAAACTTGCATTTCATTTGCCTGATGAGTATCTGGCTCCATGTCCATCTGCTGCCTGTAGAGTTTTCTTCAATTTCCATCTCCCATATCCCACATAAGCTTTTAACCGTTAAAATCACCTTTTAAATTTCTCACTGATACAATACTTTAACTTCTAAGTCTTCTAGCACAAAAGTTATTTGCTAATTCTTCAACAATTCATTTGGCTCCTTCTGAAACCTCTCAGTCTACTTTTCAAGTTTGTTGACAACCTCACAGGACACGATCATTATGTTCTATCGGCATGCCAGTTATCAAAAAAGTCTTCTAATGCACGTTCAGCATTTCCCTACTGAAACACTGAAGTTACTTGTTTGGCTGGTTTTGCCTCAAGGTTGCTGCAAGAGCTCACATTGAGGAGACTGAAGCAGGACTGGAATCATGTTCCCAGAGAGTCCAGCATGTATTTTGGGCTCATATTCTTCATCCCCATGTGCACGACTTCATGCTTCACGGTATCGATGCACATTGCCCCCAGTCTGCCAATTAAAGACAGTTGTTTCACATCTTGCCACGCAACCTTTCAAAAACCCAGACAAATGGCAAGTGCAGAGAAATCTGCAGACTTGCAGGAAAAAGAGGACAAAGTTAGACTAATCTAGTACAAAAACTGTGAGGCCATATGGTTCATAAGTAGAAAAACTGCTAAGCTGAACAGCTTGAAAAAAATATTATAAAAGGCTTTCAAGTGGTCGGAAAACAGAGATAGGAAAAGTATTTCAATTCAGTTGAGGCTACCTTCAGAGCATACAGTAGAATTAGTCCTCCTCCTTTAAACTACCAATATCAAAAAACACCCCAAAACATTAAAAATATCACGATAAAAAATTTTTATCAAAGTAGGAAAAGCTAGAACTTATATTTAATTGGTGAAGCTGAAGCTGTAATGGATTTTCATCTATCAAGTTCTTAATGTGCAAAAGCCTCCTTAATTTATCTTACATACTCAATGCTACTCTGAAAGCGTGGCATCTGCTGCGAACAAGCACTTGAAAGTCATATAATAAAGATCTGCCCACGAAATATTTAGCCCAGTTGCTGAAGGGGTCCTCTGAAATCATCAGCACACAAGGAACTAGGGGAAGGAGATCAGTTTTAAATACAGAAGAGCATTTAATTATGGTATTATGTACCTACAAAATACCTATCAACCCCTAAGGTCTTAAAATTATACAGTAATTTCTGGCATGTAGTATCACTGACTCTTGTGTCAGGTTGAACGCATGCCTAAATCACGACAGAGTAGCAGAGAAATCCACACACATTATGAGACTGGTGAACTAAGCAACAATCCCTCGACGCTTTTACTGAGGAGAGTACCAGGTGGGGGGCACGAGGGTTAATTCCACTGAGTATACAGTGCCACCAGTAAATAGAAAAGCAGGAAGAGGAAACAGCAAGAAAATTCCAGCAGCAACCAAAGAGCCAAAAGGTATTTTCCTGCTGCACATTGCAAAGGGAGGCAGACAGTTACCAGGCAGATGCTAAATATGACTTTACCCTTATTTTCAAATGCAATACCTGATGGAAAAGGTGCTATTTTTATAGATCTGACACAATTTCTTGTTCATTCGTGCTAAGAAGATGACACCTAGGATAAAATAGAGTGTGCTAGGACTGAGCTGGAACTCTCCCAGCGCAGGATTTTATTTTGGGAGTCTTGTAAGTAACAATTAAAGAGGACTTAGTTCCACAGAGTCATTGATATAATCTCCTTCTGGAAACAAAACATGCTTCCAATTCTGAAATTCATAGAATAAGTATAATCCATTCCCTCTTCTGAAACCTTGTCTAGTAGTAAAAGCAGTTTCAAACTACAGTAAGAAGAAAATATTTTTCTCCTTAGGAAGCAGCAAACTAACAAACAGCAGCGCCCAGGCACACTCCAAATATACCACCTGTGGAGTTTAAGAGCATTTTTTCCCATAATTTTTTCCCATAAAATTCAGCCAGCTTGATGGCTGGGGAAACACACAGAAGTTTGCCAAACACATGGAAAAGTAGTTTCCTATGATAGGGGCCAGTGCCTCTGACAAGCAGCAAATTGTGGGGAAAAATCCTCACGACAAGGAACCCACCCACCCCACAGTCACCTTGCACACATACTCTGCAAGCAGTGAATGACATGAACTCCCAGTTTTCCAAGGCCTCTTCTGGCACACAGGCAGAGATGCAGATGCTCATCATTCCTCTACCAACAGCAAAGCATTCTACATCCTGTTTGGTTTATGTCATCAAAACTCTAAATATGGAAAAACTCATAAGCTTTTGGTATTAAAGCAGTGAAGCTCAAAGAAAGAACTCCAAATATAAAGCTCCCCATGGTCTTGCCTAAAGAGTATTTTCTCCAGCTGAGAAAGAGAACATTGGAGCAAAACATTTGCCTGAGATAGGATTAAAATTTGGAGTTACTCAGCCTTCTTCCAAATCACATCTCAGCACAGAGC